TTAATTACTCGCTTGTCCTACAGAAAATTGATGTTCCTCCATTTCATCTCTTTCCCCTCCTTTTCTTTCCAGCGCGATCCGCGCATTGTCCTCTCCTTTTCCACCAGCATCCATCGATAGAAACGCTGCGTTACGTGAAATCAATGGGCCGTTCGTATGCGACGCGCGTTTCATTTTGCCGACAGTCGAAGCACGAGAAAATTTTGAAGAATGTTTCATAAAAACGTGCGCACGTGTGTGTATGATGTGTGTTTGTGTGTGTAGGTGTATATTTATACAGCCTCATTAAATATTTATATAACGGACATCTACTTTTACAATTTTATTCTATTTTATAAAGATCATTAATTTTGTTGGAGAATTTATTCTACGTCCTCAGTTATTAATGTTAAGATATTCTAACCCTCTGGAACTGACAGTGTGAATCTATTGGACTTACTTGATTATTTAAATCCACTAGCCGTGAAAAATGTAAAACAATTTAATTTTCTTTGTGTTACATCTGTAAAAATATTTTGGAGTATTCCGAGGGGTTGATCACACACTGAGATAATTCAACGACAATCCAAACAAAATTTTGGATAATCCAAGGTAATGTTTTAGCGTACCTTTTTATTTATAGTTAACTTGATTAGTCGCGAAATTTTCAATTTAACGCTAAGTTGCGATATCGTTTAACAAAAACTCACTACTGGTGTTTTTAAAAAATTTTTTTATTTTATAAAATATCTATTAAAATTTATGTTCAATTGGATATTGTTTTGTTAGTATAAAAAAATCTCAAACGTGCGAGTAGTCGAACTTGTTACTATCTATATATATAATACATATATGCAAAAATTTTGTATTCCTGTATGTAATAAATATTTATTTCGTAAAAATGCGTTATCAAGACCGAAATATTCCAGAGTGATCTAAAGAAATAATACTTTATATACTACTCGTATAAGATAATCTTTGCTTGTCATATAAATGAGCAAAATAAATTTTGGAAAGACCTCGGATAATCTCAGAAAATATCATATATTTTTAAATACTCTAAGGTAATTTTGGGTAATTTGAGGTAGTATTTGGAATAATCTGGAATAATTTGAGGTAATATTAGGTGATCTTAAGTAATCCGAAGTAATTTAAAAGTAATCTGTAACAAGAGTAATTTTTGTACACTATAACCGTTGACCAATCCCTCGGATTATTCTTATTAAAATATACTCGATATTCATTATTTTTTATATAAGTTATGTCATCATTTTGGTTCCTTGAAATTAATTAATCTTTCAATTAACATAAATTAACACAAATTAGTTTTATAGATCCAAACATCAATAAATGTGTTACAGAGTTTGACGTCAGCTCTGAAGGTTTAACAGTCAGATCTCAAGAAAAAAAATTTCTCTTGTTTCCATTCCGCGCTTGACAGATTACACAAAGTAGACACTAGCTGCATGTCACTTTCTTCGCTCACGTCTTGCGCAATACGTTGTCCCCCTCTATCATCGACGAAGTTGCGAACTGCCGGAAGTGACAATCGATGTATCACGTATGCTTTTGAATAATTAACCACTGTCAACGGTAAGATCGCGGGAAACGTCGCTCTCGAACGAGTGTTTAATTAAGCTCTCCTCGGTACTCCGCCGACAAAACGCGGTTAACTTTGTCATGACGCGGCGCGGCGATTTTCAAAGGCCCACCGGCTCTCGGCGCGCATTTAGGGCTAAATGTGGCCGTCCGAGTCATGTTGCCATAAATGCATGGAGAAACGCGCCGGAAACCGACAACGTCTGACAGATGCATAAACCTTACAGAGAAATAAATTCAATTTCTGTCTTGCGACTCCTATCCATCTCCGTTATAGTATCTCCAATAAAACTAGTTGTCATTAATAACAAAAGAATTGTAGTATATATACGTAATTTTATACATGGAAAAAATTATGCACTAATAGCATTAATCACAATAATCTAATCGAAAATAATCTCGTTAATCTCGATAGTATAATATTAAGTCTATGATGCATTTTTTCCCGTTGAATTACTTTGTTGTAAAAATTATTTAAAATTCTGCGTTCTTTTCGTATAGTACAATTCTAATAATTTATTAAAACGCAAGCAATCCAGCAGGAAAAAAATGCATTATGTGGCTTCAATAAAACAAATCAGTCATGCTTTTATTTTAATAAAATATTATTTGTTTTGTTAGTACTGTCCTTATATATAAAAATCAACAAGATTACTTTGAACTAAACTGCTGTTGGTTAATACTATTAATATATAATTTTTTCCGTGCATTACAAAGGGTGATTTGTAACGCTGCGATACTATCATTGATCGTAACTATTCTTTTTATCCGATCCAAGATAGCAATCATATAACTTTTCCTAGAGCAGAAACATATAAAAAGCCAACATTTTTCTCATTGGTGATAATGGAAAAAATTTCCACTTTTCACGTTTCTGTTACACTGTGAGGTTGCTATATTAAAATTTTCAGAACTAGAACTTACAAGTCTGAAACTCGGACGCTTATAATTCGGATACCTTTGAAAAATCTCCCCGGATGCCCTAAAAAAAGGATGATACTCAAGGAAAAGAGGATGAACGGCAACCCTCTACATGGAGAAAAATGTAAAGTAATAAACGTTAAAATTCCCGTAAATTTTATGGAATTGGCAGATCTATGTAGGGGCAGGCGCTCACTTATATAAAATTTACTTTACATTTCTGATAAATGAGCGATCGTCATATAGTCACACCGTAAGATACTTTTTACATTTCGTAAAGTGAATTTTGAGAATTGTTCGTGCTTAGTCTTGAGAATAGTGTGATTTACTTTACTGTGAGTTAATAAAAATTTGAATGGATTTACTATAATTGTAATGTACTTTTTACCTTACGTTTTTTTAGTTATTTTTATTTTTAGGCAAATAAAGAGTTCTCTCTAAAATTTGTGAAGTGAAATCAAATTCTAAAGAATGAAATCTCACACTTAAAAATCGATATTTGAGCGAGCCACTCTTTTTCAACGATGACTCAACTGTCACTTCTTTGTCACTCTTTAGAATTAGATTCCACTCCACACAGAGAGTTTGTTTGTCATAAGTTTGGCAAAAATAGCCAGAAAATATTTTCACTAAAAATTACTCAACTATTTTTTTCCATGTATACTCCAGAAAAATTCTTGAAGGTTCTTAGTTTAATATTATTCCAAGAAAAATGACACGATCATGACCCAAGAATCATTCGTCTAGACAGTTTTGGAGCGATTGGTACCGAAGTGATATATTCGAGAGACGAATAATTTCCCTCCGAATAGCTCGTTTACGATTGCGTATACCACGACGTTTCCGCAGAAACCAATAGTACCGATCGCGCAAATGCTCCTGTTTACCACCGAAAAGACAATAAACGCGAATATGCAAACATCACCGACGATTTGTGTTTGCGCCCTCCCTCAAGACGTTCTGGAAGCTTCGTGGAATTCTCTTTCAGGGCCGGAGACCATCCGTACCGCATGGAAAACGTTATTACAGGCGTAACTATAGAACGGGCAGAAGGTAGGGACGGACGGAGATGGGAGAAAGCAAGTCTCCGACCGTGTCATTGTTCCCGGGAACCCGGGAATTCTTCAACGATCAAAAGCGACGCGCCGAGTCGTGGAATCTTCATCACTGAGAAGTCGCCGCGAAGCGAATGGGAAAGCGAGAGAATTCGATGAGATTCGACGAAACGGGGACCCCTCGAGATGTTAACGCGTGGGAGAAAATACAACTCGACACGGTATCTCGATTGATGCGAGTAGTGCTGACGAGAGTAGTGACGCACGACTATAATTCTACTTAACGCGGACGCGATTCGGAATCGCAAATCGCACAAACCGTACTCGCACAAGCTGTTCACGTTTCACGACATTTTAACGCATCTCGTCTACTTTAATGACGGAAAATTTTCATTCAAGTTCGTGCGGAGTTAAAAGCTACGGCACACAAAAGAAGGCACACGTGAGGCAGTAAACGAATCGGCCAATCACATTAGAGAACGTAAGGCAACACTATTAGATATCAAAGAAGCAATAGTAATCCAATTTCTTGAGTTACACAACATTTGATTATTTTTAACTTCCATGCACTGAAAAAAGAATCTCGTTGCGTTAATTGTAATTCTGGTTAAAAATAGAAAAATTTCAGAATTTTCTGGTTGAATCTATTAGAATTCTAGTTAAGATAACAGACTTCTAATTGATATGATCAGAATCTTTTCGTTCGTTCATTATCACACAGAAATTTTTCTCAATGTGCGTGAATCAATCCATTTCTGCGATTATTTTCAATGTAAACGTCCATATTAATGTATGCATTTAATAAATAATAAATTAGAGTCCAATTTAATAATAATTTTCTTGAATTAAATAATACATAACTCAATTGTTTTAGATAAATTAACGATATATCGAGTAGGAGCAGACTTATAGAAATTTTGATTGAAAATAACTCAAATGGAGTATAATTGGACATTATGAATAACGTAAGCAGTAACAAATCTAAAATGTTAATTTCCTTACTGCTTACGTCTTGTTGCCTAAAGTTGTTTTTTGTGTGCCACGATCTTGAAACTGAAAAATTTCCCAAAGAATTTGCGATTCATCTTGGGCGTCAAAGACCTGCCTCCAATTTTCTTTCCACATATTGGTGTTTCAATGTGTTCATTGTATTCGTTTCCCTATTTATTCTACCCCGTCACACTTTTCGTTATTCCATTATTCTCTCATAAAGAAACGCCGGTTCTTTCTTTCCGAGAAAGGAAGACCCAAAAGAAGACTGATTGAAAACCGTAAAATAAACTGTCTCCAAAAATAAAAGAATATTATACCCTTCTTAGAACAATAACCAAGAGTGAGGTTCTTAAAATGCGACTTGTTTGGCAGCCGAAAGATCGACGAAAAATCGACGGCGCATAATTCTACACCATCTTTTTTTTTTTTTAACCAGGCTATGAAAAAACTCACCGTAAACACGAGGATAATCCGTGCGCTGCCGAATAAATGTTTGAGTTTCCCGTTTGCGTCTCCCTTCAATCGCGGTACACTCCGCGACACATGTCACAAGAAAAAAAAACCTCACGACGCGCGCGAACGTCGTTTAAACCTACGCCGGAGCGAAGAACGGAGAACGCTCCGATTTTACCTTTTCACTTTCGTCCTTTCGCCTCCCGCTCTCTCCCCCTCTCTCTCTTTTGACCCTCGGCACTGACGAGATTCTCTCTTTCTCTCCGATTCTCGCGCGCACTTCTCAACCGTCGTTGTCGTTAGGTTAGGTCGCCGGTTCGTCGCACAGGCAGGCAAGCAGACAGGCAAGGCAGGCCAAAAAATCCGAGAGGGTCTCGTTTCTCTCCTTCTTCCACTCTCACTCTCGATCGAATATATATCGGTCCCTCTCCTTTTCACTCACAAATCGTGTCCCTTTTCGAAGGATATCCGACAGGCAGGTATATACACTGTCGCTCCTTTCTTTCTTCCTCTCTCTCTCTCCTCCTTACTCCAGGATCGTCGCACTGCGATATCGTCGGGATAGAAAAGTATAAAAAAAAGAAAAAAAAAAAAACAACGCACAATGCACAGATCGAGTTCGCGACGATCGAGGACGCCTCTGTCTTTCGGAGCACCGGTGTGTTACTCGGTTCGCGCTGCTCTCGGCGAAGTATTTCTCCTCTCCTCTGCCTATCTTTCTCGATTTCGAGGAGATTTTCGATCGAGCGAGCGTTTACACCGGCCGCTAAAATGTCAACAATGTCGCCGGGAGTAACGCGCACGACCGCCGTATATGTACAATACAACGCTCGGTTTTGTTACCCCGCACTGTTCTCTCCCTCTTTCACGCGCGCGCAGATCCTGCCGCCGTCCTTTGTTCCTCACGTCTCGGCCGCTGCTACGTGACTGACCGCTTCGTGCGCGCCCGACGCATACGAGCCGCGCCGAAAACACCCGAGATAGGATCCCGACGGTTCGTCGATCGGAAACGACCCTCGACGCGGAGAGCCGAGGGAGAAGAACCTTCCTTTGTTCAGGCAAGACCGAGCGGCACGACGACGATGACTGCGACGACCAAGACGACTCGTAACATAGCCTCTGTTCTCTCTCTCTCTCTCTCCCTCTCTTCTCCTCCCCCGATGCGCTTTTCTCTCGTATTATTTTGATCCTTCTCTTTCGCTTCCTTTTGCGCGTATGCACACTCGCGCACTCCTCTCTCTCTTTCTCTCTCTCACTCTTTCTTTCACTCGTTCTCTCTCGCGCTCCCCCTCTTACTTCACGTCGGCGATGCGAACGATCGCGCGGTCTGTTGGTAACTGAAACGACGCTCGAACGGTGGAGTCCGAGTTGAACGACGGCGTCGAGACGCTGTGGTAAATGGTAGAGGGGAGACTTTGGAACAACCACCACCACCACTACCATCGCCGCCGCCGACGCCGCCGCCGCCGCCGCCGCCGCGTCGCTGCATCGCTGCACATTGCGTGTCCGAGCGCGGCAACGGATGATGCATCATCGAAAATATCT